CAGATATGTACATGAATTTAAATTTTTGCTTTAATTTCTGTATCATTTTAATATTTAATTAGATCCTTAAGATTAAAATAAGATAAAACGAAACAGCACAGCAACCCTTTTCTGTTCATCTTGAGAACACAAAACCCTCTTTTGTTAAAATTCGGCGCTGCACAAAATCCTGGCGTTTATATTTTCCAACAAAATACCACTTCGCAACCCTGGATTTTCACGAAGCGTTTCATTCGGGTCGTAGTTTTGCAACTTCGGGCCATTCGGTGTTGTATGCCATGTTGGCTGCGATATTGTTCACACTGTCATCGCCATATTGAACACCCTGTCAACTATCTGTCAACCCTAAGATACTTGGGCTGTTCACAGTTCGTTCCAAATTGTGCCTGAAAATGTAGACGTCTACATTTTGAGACATCTTTAGCATCAAACTGTGAGCACCCCTTTCTAGCAGTCGTCGCAAAATCGTCTCAAAACTTTGCTGGTGTTGCCAGACATTTCCTCTTTGCGTGCATTTTTTATATATCGCCTTTCGATTTTGTTTCTGAAAAATTGTAATTATTTAACTTAATTACCAATTCCTAATATTTGTTATTTCTTTTCCTTGATTTGTTTCTTTTCATCAGAAATTGCGCTCAAATTAAATGCAAATACAAAAAACGTGCCCAATAAATAAAAAAAATGTGATTAGTATTGCCATAATGCAACCCTGCTGCGAGGTTGCAAAATGTAGACACGTAAAAAACATACCTTTGAGTGTGACAAAATGTAGACGGCGTCGTTTTCCAATTTTGTATGGGAAACAACAACACCACAGATTTTACGGTTAGAAAACGTCTTAAAATGTAGACGTCTACATTTTCAGACACTATTTGGAACGAACTGTGAACACCCCAATTGTTACGATTATCCTTGAAACCTCGTCCGGATTTCCCAAATTCTCGGTTCGTATCGCTGGATTGTTAAATAAATGCAATCGATGACCAAATTGTAGTACAATTATCTTTATTGTACCACAAACAATTTACAATACTCGCTAAAACAGTAAAAACACTTTACAATACTTGTTAAAGCAATAACAGTGCTTTACTACTTGTTAACACAATTAAACTTATAGCTTGCTTATTCGCAACTCACTTCTCTGCTCACAAACACATGTAGCTTGCTGTCTTGTAACTCGTAACTAACTCACTTCGCTGTGGCGGCGCCCTTATATACCTGCGCTGGCACTTATGGCAACTCTAGAACATTCTGAAATTTATCGCTCATTCTCTTTCTCTCGCTGTTCGCAGTGTTCATCCAACTTGACGTTTCTCTTTGTGGAACATTCTACGTCATTCCTCGAACATTCTGCCTATTTCTCGTTGTTCGCTTTGTGTTGCCGCAGTATTCGCCACACTGCCCTCCACCTAAGTCTGATCGTCCCGATCAGACATACTTGCCGCTCCAACCGCTGCAAGTCTTTCCAAGTGGACCACTTTCATCTTGGTCCTCGGTCTCCCCATTGTCTGGATCTGATGCACTGCGTCCTTCAGCCGTTTGTCAATCCTATACGGACCTTTCCAGTTACGATGTTGTTCGGAGGTGAAGCCTTTCTTCGGCTGCGGCATGTGCAACAACAACGAATCACCTTCCTGTAGCTCCTCTCGGCTCGATGCGTTACTGGACATTGCTTCCAGCTTATCTCCGGTGGTGCACCATCTCACATGGTCGTGCTTCTGCCGGCCACTGGTGGTGACCAGACCATGTCTCTTCTCATGGGCACTCTTTTCGCCAGATCTATGCCGCATCATCTGTCCATGACACCCGCCTTCGTGCTGCACTGCCTTTATCATCTTGCTACATCCGGATCCTTGCGCTGAAACTTCCGCCGTCGTTTCGTATCTCGCTCTTCCGCCGATGCTAACTTCATTGACCGGACATGTATAATCTCAACCTTGGCTTCCGGCTTAACTGCTCGCCTTTTCCGACCACCTTTTTCGGGACACTTCAAAGCGCGCCTACTGCTTTCACAGCCGCCTTCATTTCCGGCCACCGGCGTATCACCATTGCAACGTGGTTCATTGGCTTTCCTCCTGCCGGAAACACTGCCTGGCATGCCATGACCACTTCCTTGTTGCGACCTCTTCTTCATTGAGCTAGCGGAACCGTCACGCTTTTCCTGTATCGGTGAACCGCTTCCTTCTCCTGATGAAACCACTCCGTCTCCATCACTGCCAACCTCCGCCCAACTAACCGCTTCCGTTTCTGGTGGAATTGTCGACACTTCCTCTAAGACTAACCGTCTGCTACAGTACTGGCTGTCGTAACCAACCCTAAGTGGCACTTTCCTGTGACGATCTGTCAGGATCATTCTCTGGAGGTCAATCTTCATGCCTTGGCCAAGTAAGAAATCCACGCCGATGATGACTTCATCCACAATATCTGCCACTATAAACTTAGTGTACGAGGCCCAACCGTCGATTATTACCTCGCATGGTACTTCTCCTAACACTTGGGTGCATTCACCAGTTGCAGTCTGCAGCTTTGCTCCAGGTCACATAAAAAGTGGCCAAATCCGGTCGAATAATGGAATGTGTCGCTCCAGTATCCACTGTCAGTACTGTCTCCTGCCCATTCACACATCCACCAATAGTGAGGTTACTCGCATTCCGGCCAATTTGTGAGACGGAGATTATGGTCCCTTCAACTTCTGGAGCCATCACGCGGCCCTTCCTGCTGGCTCGTTTCAGTTTAACGACTGATTGGAGTTGGCTTCGTCTCCTTCAGCCCTGCGTTTGCGTCCTGCTGAATTGTTGAGCCCACTGGAACTTGCACTGCAATCGCGGGCGAAGTGGCCTGACTTTCCACATTTAAAACATTTGCCAGAGCCATGCTTTTTCTCGCCTAGCAGTTGGATAATCTTCTTCAGCATTTCATTTGTCTCGTCCGGTGTTTCCACTTCCACGCGATGTGCTTTGTAGGCTGGTCTACTTAGGAGTGCTGCCGTTTCACGCGTCTGAGCATACGAGACGGTTTCAGCAAATGTTGCCTTTGGATTCGCGTACGTCTCTCGCTTGGTATACATGTCCCGCATTCCGTTGACGAGCCTCTGGATTTTTACCCTTTCAAGGTGCTCACCAGATGCGTCTCCTATTGCCAATTGAGCCAGCCATTTCAATCTCAGAGGCGAATTCCTGTAAAGTCTCGTTGGATTTCTGGCAGCGATTCTCCAGCTCCATCTGGTAGATCTGTCGCCTGTGCTCGCTACCATAGCGTCTTTCCACGGCCCCCATCAATGCATCATAATTGTTCCTTTCACAGTCGGGAATACTCTGCAAGAGCAGCGGATTTATCCTCCATACACCAACGATTTGCTGTAGCTGTCTTCTCGAACTGCAGCTTAAAGACCTGGAAAGGAGTCGTGCCGTCAAAGGATGGAGTTTTTACCTTGGGAGCGTTCGTCGAAGCGGCTGGACGATTCAACTGCAAGTCTCGGAATCGACCTTCTAACTCGCCCATCTTAGCTTCGACTTTGTCCTGTCTCTCTTCGATTTTTTCCTGCATTTGTACAATCTTTGCATCCTGTGCTTCCAGTTGGGATGACATCTGTGCTGATACCGCTGCTGATATACGTGTCTCCAGCGCTTGTATCTGCGATGAAACATCTGACGACAGTGTTTGCATCTGAGTTGACAGCTTTGATGACATCTCTGACATGCGTGTATCCTGTGCTTGCATCATCTGTGACATGGCAGCCAATAACGTGTTCATGTCCATAACTGTTGATGACGAAGGAGCCGTTTGCTGTTCTTCAACCTTCCCGGATGTCTGCTGCACATCCTTCGACGAACATGCAGCCTCATCCTTCTGTTCGTCCTTTGCGGATGTATCGTCGGGTTTACCTTGGAAGCCGTATTTGTCCACGTCGATGCCTTCAGCTTCCATAGCCTCTCGCAACCGGGATAACAATTCCACTTTTCTTCCGGAGGTGGCCAAATTACGCTTTTCCAACTCCGGTTTCAGCTCCTCAATTTTTAAGTCCTGAATTTTCGCCATTTTTAGTAGTTTCTCCTTCGGGATTTATTTAGCAATCCCACTTCTGACACCAATTGTTACGATTATCCTTGAAACCTCATGAACCAAAAATACAAGATCACGTAAGAGCGCGACGTTGTATTTATAACTGGTTTTGAGAAAAAAGTTTGCGAAAGCGGGTTCGTCAGCTGAGCGTCTGTTTACATCACAAGCACCACACATTTTAAAGCATTTTGTTGCATCATTTTACCTAAATTGTGCGTTTAAAGTGGCTGACAATAATTTTGGCTAATTTTGGTTTTCGTTGGTTTGTTTACTTTTCGCTCGTCTTCCAGTGAAACAAGATGGCGTAGAACCCGCTAAAAAAATCGACTTTTTTCACTCTCTTGTTCTTACGTGATCTTGTGTCTTTCGTTCATGTTGAAACCTCGTCCGGATTTCCCAAATCCCGGTTCGTATCGCTGGATTGTTAAATAAATGCAATCGATGACCAAATTGTAGTACAATTAACTTTATTGTACAACAAACAATTTACAATACTCGCTAATACAGTAAATACACTTTACAATACATGTTAAAGCAATAACAATGCTTTACTACTTGTTAACACAATTAAACTTATAGCTTGCTTATTCGCAACTCACTTCTCTGCTCACTTTACTTGTAGCTTGCTGTCTTGTAACTCGTAACTAACTCACTTCGCTGTGGCGGCGCCCTTATATACCTGCGCTGGCACTTATGGCAACTCTAGAACATTCTGAAGTTTATCGCTCATTCTCTTTCTCTCGCTGTTCGCAGTGTTCATCCAACTTGACGTTTCTCTTTGTGGAACATTCTACGTCATTCCTCGAACATTCTGCCTATTTCTCGTTGTTCGCTTTGTGTTGCCGCAGTATTCGCCACAATATCTCACTTGTATTCTTCCACAATGTATAAAACTGCATCTTGCTCTCTATGCACTACAGACAAAGCGATGGTCGGCCATTCGATGTGCTTGCGTTTTCAGTTTACAGAAAACATCGATGCATCAACGCCTCGATGCATCGACTATTTATACATCGAGTGGAAAATTTTCGATGCATCGAAACGAAACATCGATATTTTCGATGCATCGATGTTTTTTCGGCATCCGTAGTGAAAACACATAGTTTTTTGGTATGGAGTATTTACGTCCGTTTTGGAATTGTTTGAGTACATTTTGCAGGTGTTTGCGTTGTTCAGAAGATATTGATAACCAGGTTTTGTATTTAGGAAAGCTATAAGTTTGTTTAATAAATGCTCATATTTTTCCAGTTCCATTATGAACCAAACGAGAGGACTTACTTGCTAGCTGATCCTGCAATTCACAACAGTCCAGCTCTAGGGCAAACAAACTCTGACGACCTTAGCAGTGAATTTGCCCAATCATTGCCCAAAAAAGATGAAAACGCATTATGTCGCTTAGTTCAAAGTACAGCTATGTGAGTTTAGAATTGTTATATGCACGAAACACTAATTGCATGTGAATAAATTGTTCCCATAATTTGACATGCAAAACAAAAACAGATTCGAGGGAACTGGTTTTTGTTTTGCTTTACAATTTTTGGGAATATCTGTTCACGCGAAATTCGCGATAGGGCCGACCATGACATAAAAAAGAAGGTAGTTTCACTCAGCATTATCTCGACATTAACCCTGGCCTTCAGTAAGCAGTCTCTAGTCACTAAAAGTGACGTTTGTTCGATATGGATTTTGAGACAATTTGGTAATCAGTAGGCTGTCTGACGTCTCTAGGAAAGAGATTCTTACAGGCCTATTCGGCGTTAGTAAAGTTACTGTCAATTTTTAAACCTTTTTCAAATTCTCTACACTCTTGTAACCGGCAAATTTTGTTACCATCTCATGAAATATGCAACACCAGAATTTCAACAAAACTCCATCACCCCTATTCTGTAATCCGAAAGTTCGTAGTTACGAATTCGTAGCTCTGTTCCGAAAATTCGAAAATTGGTATGCTGTAATCCGATCGTAACTATCAACGGCGTTACCAACTAAACTAGTGAAATTCGAAGTTCTTAATCAGCTGCTTTGACAGAAACAAATCAAAATAAATATAATCGCAAGTGAACAGTGAAATTAAAAAAAAATTGTTTAATCGTATTTGAAAAAGCTTTTCCTTAATTAAGTAAAATAGAATGGATTCAGTGGCCGGTGCACTTTTGTCTCAGGAGGAAGAACATGCTGCAGTCAACTGTTGCATTAATATACAAAGGAGATTGCTACGAGACAGTTCTGATCCATTTAGCTTAAATGATAAATATATGCTCCCTCTTTTTAAGGGCGTCCATTCAACTAAATATTGTGTTGCTTTAAATCTTGCAACGCTTTCCCAAAATTCCACCACATCCTCTTTAACTATTACAAAGCCTCGGGCAATGTCCGGCCTTTCGCTCATGCATTTCACCAGTTTTTCGTATTGCGAGCGATTTGTTGTGATTGTCGACTTGATAATTTTGTAAACATTTATTAATACATTGTTTTTTATTCACACTTCAACTTACATACATATTTTTGCGTTTCCACACTTTATTTCATTGATATTTTAAAAGAATTCGCTTCGCTCCGACACCAGTTGCTCTTCGTAGAAAATTTCCGACAAATACATACAAATTACAGCTACGTCGGATTCAGGCATACCAACATTACGAATTTCGAATATGGTCTCCGAATTTCGAAATTACCATACGGCAACGCGGATTACAGCCTACCAATTTTAAGATTCGTAGCAAAATCGAATCTACGACGGATTACAGCATAGGGGTGCATAGCTGAATTGCTGAATAAATTAAAACGTTACCAAGGTAAATAGAATTGCGGTTGCAAGAAGTGGTGACAATTGTTGGTAACAAAATTAGCTTGTCACAAAATGTTCGGTTACAAGCAGAATAGGCCTGTTAGAGTGTGCTCCGCGGAACCCAAGAATTCCCTAGAAGTCACCGGGGTTCCGCGGAATTAATTTTGTTATGAATAAGAACGCCGGTCGGTTTGAGTTGCACACAGAAAGAAAAGTTCTATAAACAGCTTGACCGAGACACAATTATCTATTTTCAAGTATATGTACATATAGTCGTTTAAATTGCAAAACCGCGTATCAACAAAATGCAAAACCGCGTATCAGCAAAATGCAAAACCGCGTATGTGAAGTTTTAGAAATTATTTTCTAGAGTGTAAAAACTCATATTTCAAAATGGTTATCTTTTTTATAAAGAAATCGCATTTCTGCCTAGTATATTTCAGGATGAATGGATAAGGATTGAGCCAAGAGCTTGTGTGAGTAAATCCAATTTTTGGCAGCCAATGCCAGTTACGCGGTTTTGCAGAATGAGGATACGCGGTTTTGTACTTTAAACGACGATATGTATGTACTCGTAGTTGGTATGATTGCCGTACTGAGTGCCATGCCTACATAAGAGCGTAAATTTTGCGCTTGCTAGCTTGTTTTTTTTTTTCTAACCGGTGCATATGTGTCGTTGGCCGCTGTAGCCAGAGGGTGACGTGAATTCTTAGTCAGATTAATTTTCAGGTGGTAGTAGTAATATCGGTTTGGTACAAAATCCAATTACGAAGCATTCATAGATCTCCAGAGTAGGGATGCTGCGAATGTGGAATTTTAGACATCCGGGGATGCGAATATCTAATAGCTAACATCCGTGGATGCGGATGCGACTGCGGATGTCAAGTATTTATAAGAAACAATTAGAATCAAGCATAATGGCGAGATCGTATGTCAGGTTTTTCTAAAGCTTTAAAAAAAATTCATTCTGTTGTTGTTGTTGTAGCGGCACTACTAAGCCCCGCCTGTTTCGGGTCATCTTTTAATCATTATCGTCAAGCTCAACTAACGGTAGGCCCAGGAAACGAGCTGTTCCGATGGGGTCGGACCAAAGGGAGAGGGGTGTTAGTTGAGTCGGATTGAGCTGGCATGTGAAGAGGTGGTTGGTGTCGTGGGGGGAGTCTCCACATGCCGGGCACTCATTTGGGATGTTTGGGTCGAGTCTAGACAGGTAGCTGTTTAGGCGGCTACAATATCCAGACCGTAACTGAGCCAGGGTAACGCGGGTCTCTCTAGGTAACTGAAGCTCCGTCTCTTCCACAGGTGGTGATTGGGCTCCGATAACGACATTCCTAGGCCGGGAGTCGAGGTAGGTGAAGACAGACTCCCTATGAATGTCGTTGAACGCTCGTCTGTACGTCATTGGGTCCAGTGGTTGGTCTGTGTGGGTCTGGACTGCGTCCTTGTACATGAATAGGTGCCCCCTGACGTGCCTGGGCGGAGGCTCCTCCTCCAGCAGTGGTCTGTTGGGGTGTTCACTTCTGTGACACCCCACCAGAAACTGCTTACAGAGCATCTTGTTGTGTTCCCTTACGGGGAGCACTTGGGCCTCACTGTGTAGGTGATGCTCAGGCGTCATCAGAAGGCACCCAGTCGCTGTCCGGAGTGCGGCGTTCTGACAAGTCTGTAGCTTCATCCACTGCGTCCAACTAGTCCCCGGCGACCAAACTGGCGCAGCATAATTTAGAACCGGCCGGCCAATTGCCTTGTATGTTGCCAGCAAGGTTTCTTTGTCTTTGCCCCAAGTGCTGCCGGCGAGCGACTTGAGGACCTTGTTGCGGCTCTGTACTTTGTTGACAACTGCGGTTGTGTGCGCGGAGAAAGAGAGCAGGCTATCAAAGGTAACCCCTAGAATTTTCGGGTTGTTCACCGTCGGTATAGGTGTGCCGTCGACGTGAATGCCTAATTCAAGCCTGACCTCCTTCGTCCAGGTGGTGAAGAGGGTCGCCGTTGTTTTCGTTGGGGAGAGGGTTAGGCTCCTTGCAGTGAAGAAGCGAGAAAGGCTGGAGAGATAGCCGTTTACTTTTGAGCAGAGGTCATCAATTCCATTCCCAGACGCCAAAATCGAACAATCGTCAGCGTACGAGATCAGGGAAACTCCTTCAGGTGGCTGGGGGAGTTTCGAGATGTAGAAGTTAAAAAGTAAGGGGGAGAGAACACCACCTTGTGGAACCCCTTGTTTTATTCTTCTTGGTTTCGAGGTTTGATCTCTGAAGATTACTGATGATTGGCGACCACTCATATAATTCGCCGACCATCGCTTCAGTCCCTGTGGGAGAGAGGAGGCCTCAATGTCTTCTAGCAGCGTGGAATGGCAGACGGTGTCAAACGCCTTTGACAAGTCCAGCGCTACTAGGACAGTTCTCTCACAGGGGCGGTTTCGATTTAGGCCACGAGTTGTCTGGGTGTTTATGGCGTTAAGTGCCACGACAGCCGGTTCTACGTACCGGAATGACTCGGGTTTTACCCGACCAAGGGCTGTTGTTTCGGCGATCTAACCCCGTCTAGATCGGCGATACCCACCAAAAATTCATTCTCATTCCTTTGGCTGTTTCAGAATTTGGGGAATCTGTAACTTCATCAGGGTTTTTCGATTTTAGTTTTTATAATCCGTTTTTAATACTTTCTTCCGCGAGCTAAACAGGTGGATATGGAAAATAAATCATTATTTTTGAACAAAATTCTGTTTTCAACGTGGCTGCCAGCCGAATGGGATCAGAATATCGTTATTTTTTTAAAAAAGCACCCCGTCTTTTTATAAGTGTTTGAATCTAGGATACTTACGTATTTCTTATCTAATTAAAGGTAAGACCTATAGCTTTTTTAATTAATTGAACATCGATTCTCTTTATAGCCAGACGTTGATCATTTCTGTTGTAAATTCATATTGAAGGAGCTTACTCTTTTACTTTATTTAGCCAAGAAGGGACAGTTTTGCCACAGAAGTTTTTAGCCAAGTTTAGCCAAGTAAACAAAATTACGGGTTTTAAAATGTTTGTAAAAATAAATTCCTCTAAGAGCCCAATTTGAAATTATTAAAACGAATATATTTGTGTTCATATGGAATAGTACCTTATGTCGAAAGGCTGGCTTTAGTATAATGCAGCATTCGCAGCATACGATTGCGATTGACTCACTGGCGCCGAGCCGTTGAAGAACTTTAGGCAATAAACGTGCAAGAAATAGTTCCGATACTAGCAAGTCAATATTCTTATTAAGTCTCATCAAAAAATTCTTTGTCGTTTAAGGTATAAGGGGAATGCCGCATTATACTAAAGCCAGGTTGCCGACATAACATAAGAATTACAGTGCACACTTCTTTTGTGTCTAGTAGTTTTTTGTTTTAAGATTGGTCCAAAAAAATCATAATAAAGAAAGAAACCAATACAGGTATTTAAAGCACAGAAAAAAAATATTATTAAAAGGACTATGTTCTCTTTGACGTACGTCAAAGGTCAAGTAGAAGTGGGAACTTGTATGAGTAGCTCGTATGGTAGCTCGGTTATATAGCCATTGCACGTAGCACGGATTGCATGGATTGCATAACTTGCAAACACACAACAACAAAATACATGTGAAATAGGGATGTTGCGAATGTGGAATTTTAGACATCCGCGGATGCGAATGCGGATGCGAATATCTAACAGCTAACATCCGCGGATGCGGATGCGAATGCGGATGCCAAGTATTTTTAAGAAACAATTAGCATACTGGCGAGATAGTTGTTTAAACAGCGCTTACAAGCCAAACCAGATGTGTCAGGCTTTTCTAAAGCTTTTTAAAAAGAATTCTTCATTCTCATTCCTTTGGCTGTTTCAGAATTTGGGGGATCTGTAACTTCATCAGCGTTTTCCGATTTTAGCTTTTGCAATTCACTTTTAATACTTATAGCGAGCTAAATAGGTGGATATGGAAATAAATTATTACTATCTAGGAATGAACATTTTGAACACAATTGTGTTTTCAAAGTCGTAGCTGACAGCCGAATCGGAGCAGAATGTTGTTATTTTTTAAAAAAGCGCCCCGTTTTCTATAAGCATTTGAATCTCAAAGAGCCAGACGTTGATCATTTCTGCTGGAAATCCCTATTGAAGGAGCTTACTCTTTGACTTTAAATAGCGAAGAAGGGACAGTTTTACCACAAGTTTTTAGCCAAGGGTCCAATGTATATCCTTACGAAAAAAATATTGCCCAACAAGTAAACAAAATAACATATATATATGTAGGATACCGAGTGTTGTATGTTAATCGCGGTGGCATTCAAACAATCGAGGCGACGGTCGACAATGAACTCTGGCCGTATATTCTATAATGGCAGTTCGGTCAGCCTTATTTATTTATTTATTTATTTATTTTTTACAGTCTGTTAGACTTATATTGCAACAAAGATTTAACATTCTTATAACTAGATTTTAGATTTAAAATGTAAATATTAAGTATTAAATACAAAATACAAAATACAAAATGCTCTACAGAAATTTTTAAATAACATTATTTCTTTATCACTGCAATTATTTTATGTCAATATAAACGCATGCAATTTCCTGGAAGTTATGTAGACGGTGGGAAAGGCCGAGTTTCCAATCCGCGCTATTCTTTTTGGGTTACTCCATTTATTGATATCTCCTGGGTGGTCAGAAAGGCCGAGTTTCCGATCCACCCAGTCGCGCTTTCGTGACGGTTGACGGTTGGAAAGGCCTAGTTTCCAATCCGCTCGTTTATTGTTTATTATCTAAGGGTCTAGGTAGTCGGAAAGGCCGAGTTTCCGATCCGCCTAGTCTCGATATCTTGGTGGTTGGAAAGGCCTAGTTTCCAATCCACGCTATTGTTGATACATCACTATCTTGTAGGCTGCGTTCTACAATAGTCAAATAGCAGCCGCTTGAAAAGAGTGATAGTATCACAATTTTTTATAGCCTCTGGTAATTCATTGAAGCACTTTAAGCCTTTATAGAA